CAAGATGTTTAACTGTGAAATTTTTATTTATTCAACGAAATTTGACGAGTTAATTAATATCCATTCTTAAAGTTTTTTAATCACTTTTTTGTAAGCCAAGACAAAGAAAGAGACAAGATTTTTGGTACAGATGAATAAAGCTTTATTTTTTTTTATCCGATTTGTCTACACGCTCGCTTGCTACACGACTGTCCCCCTTCGACCGCGACTCCTACTGCTCTTTTTTTTTTTTTTGTTACACAAGTTACGTCGTTCGATTCGCAATATTCAAGTCTCGATTACGATCTACTTTTCTTAAAGTCGCGTTTACAATCTAAACTTCTTTTATATTTTTTGTTGTGTGTCTGTTTGAAGATAAGGTCCCCCTTTGAAAATCACCGTGCGAACTATCGCGGTATCAAAGACGCGGGAACGAATTCGTCGAGGCTAATCCTCGAAGAAGCAGCATCGAATGAGAGGGTGCTCGAAACTTTATTTTGAAAAATTGCCCGAAGTGTAGCTTTGCGTGATCTTTCAACGTGTACATTATTTTGTGGGGGCGCAAACATCGGCCCGATATCATTGATCTCGGTGAAAGGATTTCGCGATCGCGTAGGATATTTTCGTGAGGAGATAGATAGGGTGAGACGCGAGGATACACACAGGTATACACACGCGGGGGTGCCCTTCTCTATATAAGTGCCATTTGGTCGTGCCCGCTTTGTCCGCGAATTCCGAACTAGTCATTGTCCTCACGTTATTGTTTGGAAGGACGCGGGATGACAATCCCCGTCGCCAAAGAGCATTCCACCTCTTTCCTCGGAAACCACTCACGTCAATCTTGCGCGCGTCGCAGTTAAAAATAAATAACCGCCTCCTCACCCCCTCAATCTTCGTAGACGTGTGGCGTGATCGGTCGATTATTGTCGACCGATGAAGTTCCGGTGTCGAATCAGAATAGTCAACGCAAAGGATACAAATACTTTTGTTTACATAAAATCTTAAAGAATTATGTGTATAGCATTTTTTTCTCGTCTTTAATTTTTCTCTATCTGAATTTCTAAATTTTTTCTAGCTAAATTCTTCAAGGAACGCATGAGAAAAATTGTGTCAAATTTTTTCTATATATATAACATACATACGTTGTACTTCTTGGAAACAACAATTGAATTTTCTTTTACAAACTTTTACGAAGGATTATCAAAAAATCGGTCACAGTACCGAACATTAACTTGGATAAGGAAACATATAAGACAACAAATCTTCTCATTCTTCTATTTCCACGAAGTTTCTGCTTAAAATTTTAATTAAAATACATAAATTAATTACATGAGCATTACAATCGCGTAAAACGATGAACGTTAAAATACGAGGAAATAAAATTCATTATCTTCTCGCTAACGAGAATCAAACGTGAAGACTGGCATTGTGTTTTCTTAGAAAAAAATGATCAATACTTCATTTCAAAGTATTTCGACCGAATCCGATTTATATCGCTGAATCAACACAGCCGGACAGTTTTTATAAAAAGAGACCGCATATAATCGGCAGAAATAATCACTTTATCCCGATCTAAAAACTTGTTCTCTCGCGTTTTGAAGAGGCCGATCAAACGCACGGAAAGATTAATCGCAGATACGCGCGAACGAATGAGAGTTCTTGCACTCTTCCCGAGTAATCGCGTTGATATCACCTCACCTTTCTTCCGGACCGACCGAATTAGAATCGTACCCAGAAAAACCGTTTGACGATTTCCGGATGACGGACGATGATGCACTACCGCGATGCGTAAACGTCGCGACCTACATTATACCCAAATTATGCCGCGTCTATGTCTCGATTGTCGAGCAACAAAGAACGAGCGTAAAGAGACTGGAGTGGAGAGCGAGGGGGGAGGGGGATTTGTGGTTTAACCCTCGGTTTTTAATGTGTGCCCAGGTGGGCAATGGGACTCTCTCTCTCTCTCTTCGCATCGCGCTTCAATAAATTATTTCATATCTTATACCGCGCGCTCGTTGAGTCTCGATATATCGCATAATCGGCGCGCTCACGGATGTTTATCTGCGATCGTCCGTGCCCCGTTGCGATGCGCCGGAGCCGTTACCGATCCTTCCACGAGTCGTTCCCATGAGCATTAACAATTGGAACGAGCTCGTGTACTATTTTTTTTTTTTTTTTTAGAGTGTAATTTTGTTAAATTTCCAAGAACTCTCAAAAGCAGCAGCACGAATGATCTCGACACGTGTTGTCACACACGTTGTTTCGGCTTCTTCAAACGCACGAACGCGGAATGGATCGAGGTGTCAGTTGAGAAATCACGTTTATTACTCAAGATTACGTTACTTCCGACGGCGATTTTTTTTTTTTGATTCTCATGATCCCAACAATTGGAATGCGAATAATTATGAGAAATACTATGAAGACATCCGCGCGAGAAGAGATGAGGTCGCGGCACAGATAGCGAAGTAATCGCCATTATCGTTTAAAAGAGGCGAAGGGAGAGGAAGCGGTAAAACCACCTCTCTACCGCGGGCTTCCATAATCTGAGTGCGATCTTTATCGTCAAATTCTGTAGCGGGGGCCGCATCGGTGCCTCGATTGCGCAATCAAGATGGCATCGAGAAAGGCATCTCTCGCCTTCAACTCAAACTACCAACAAGTATTTCAATATCCGCTCCAATATATTCCCATCGACCCTATAAACGTGTGTGCACTTATATTGGATTCTCTCTCTATCGGCCGCGCTTCTCTCCCTCCCTTCTCTCCTCCCGTCACTCTTTTCCTCTTATACCACCTCACACATCTTACGTGTGTGTGTATCTATGTGTGCGACGTACATACGCAAGAAGACGTAACCCTCCCACCCGCACGATGCAAAGAGACCTGCGGTCTGTACCGAACGAAACCGCGTTAGTTCGCGCATCTTGTAATCCCTTACGCGTGCGAACGATTCCGCAGTATGCAATTGTTTTCTTTCTCTCCCCACACGTTTGTTTAACGAGACGATGACAAAACCCAATCGACAATTCACCTGCGTTTTTCTTTTTCACGAGAATCACACACTTGTGACGGATATGGGAACATTTTTTTTATTTATAAACTTCACGTAGAAACTAGTTGTAAATACATTTGAAATTTTTACAAAGAAAACATAAAACGTAGTTTCTTGTTTATTTGACGTATTGTGTCTCGGTGTGTAAAACTGATTTAGAGATTTGTTCAACGAACGGAAAAGTAACGAAAGAGAAGCGAAGAAAAGGGAGGCAGGCAAGGAAGGAAAGAAGGAAGGAAGAAAAGAAGAAAGAAAAAAGCAAAGTGTAGGAAGGATTCTTTAGGGGGAGGATGAGCGATACCGCCGAACGGGAAATGCAATCCGTGGCGGCGGCGGCGGCGTTGGTGGCGAGTCTCGGGTCGACAGATAGATAGAGTCAAGATTCAATTAGCTCTAGCTGTCAGCTGCATGATACTCGTCGATTCAATACACCTTGTCGCTCGTATGTGCCTTGGCTTTCCACCACTATATATACATATATATATATGTGTGTGTGTGTGTGTATATATACACGCTAGTATGTGTGTCGCGCCCTCGTTATGCGTTTTCGCATCAACACACGCGGAAAACCGGGCAAAACCCTAGCGAGTTTTCGAGCGCAACACGGAACACTCGCTGCCGCGTCGCGACATTCTTTCCTTGCGACGAAAAAGGGTGGAAATAATAAATTTCACGTTGTTTTCCCGAGCGCGGTGAAACTCGTGTGAAAACTTGAGAGTGAGATTTCATTTTTTTGTTTTTTTGGTTTTTTTCTTTTTAGAAAAACAACAAATATGAGGACAATTATACAAAACGCGAAGAAAACCGCGATGTGACTTACGTGCGCGCTTTTTGACAAAGAAAAATATTTCGTACAATTGAGAGAAAATTGTGTCAAATTATGTAAATACAATTTGAAAAAATTTCAATATTTAAATAATATTGTAACGTGTCACAGAAATTATATTATTATACACATGTATTTTGCAACGCAACACTCGCGTCGGCGGTGGTTGCAATATCTTTTTGATGTTCGCACGGAAACTTCAACCAAGACCGTAACACGTGCTATTTATTCTCTCTCCTCTGGCCTCCCCCTGCCCCCCGTCTTACCGCCGATTGAATTAATTGAAGCGATTCGACCGGATTCCGATCCGACTCGAACGTCGCGTTTCGAATTCATGAAAGAACGGCAGGTCGGGGGTGAAGAGAAGCCGAAGGGGGATGGTGTGCGTGTAGATGATGTAGGTATCACTTATCCGGGGGCCAGAGCGATACCAGCCATTTTCAATTTATTTCAAGTGCCTTTTCGTGGCGGAGAAAAGAAGGGGGTGCCGCCGCGTCTGCACTGGCGCAGAGAGATACCTCTATACCGTCGTCGTCGTCTCTCCATCTTACGCCGCCGCAGCCGCCGATCTCGCGGATTCGACACGGCGATATTAAGGTTTTATCGATGCTCGCGAACTATCATCAGGTCGTTCGAACCGAATCGGGCGTTGCCGTTATCGCGCTCGCGCTCTAAAAAAAATTAAGTTGAGATATTTAATCTTGTTAGAGATTATCAATTATTTAATTCGATTTTATAATTTGATGAGATGTTAACATAACTTTTTACAAGGGAAGAAGGGATTTTCAAAAGAATATAATAACAGATTTGTATTGAAGTTTTAATTACACAAAATAGTGTAATCTCAGAGATTTTTGGTTGCGGAATCTTATATATATACAGTATATATATGTACTGACAGTATATATGTATATATATATATACTGTCAATCGTCTTATAAGTACGTGAATATATATATATACACTTACTTCTATTGTGCATTGTTTGACCTCTATATCTTAATTTAAGATTACATTCAGATTTTTAACTCATGTGTAATAAAGTTTGTCAATACGCGTGTACTAATAAATTCGCTGTATTTTCACATATCATCGAGTTTCGCGAATAAGTCGTATCTCTCTTTCCCCCCCTCTCTCTCTCTCTTTCTCTCTTTCTTCGTCGTGGCATAAAGCTCACGGATAAATAAAACCGCGGCACCCACGAGAAAATATTGAACTCCATCGCTGAAGAGAAGAACGAAGACTCGGAAAAAAAGAGAGAGAGAGAGAGAGAGAGAGAGAGAGAAAGAGGAAGGGGCAATGGATGGAAACGCGAGAGAGTTGTAAAAAAATAACGCAGGTAATTAGCAGCGGGACCACTTTAGCAGGCTCGCGCACACTGTTAACAAGTGCGGAGAATAAGTCGCGCGGACAGGAAAACCGCCCTCGAACGCGAGGTAACTGAAACGCACTCGGGAAACCACCCAGACTTCTTTCGCTTCTGTTTATTTCTCTTTTCCTTTACGATTCTCCGCAACCTACCATTTTTTCTTCCTGTTGAGCTGTTTCTTTCTTACTTTCTCTCTCTCTCTCTCTCTCTCTGTCTCTCTCTCTTTCTGTCTTTTTTCCTCTCTATTTTGATACCGATTGTTCCATTTGGTATTTTATTCGCAAAGTAAAAATTTTACGTAACTAGCCAGATATTGCACTAAATTAATTGGTGCCTGTATGCGTTCATACGCTACTTGTCTAAAGAAAACTTACTTATATGATAGAGAACTTATTTACATGGCTTCTTTTTAAATACTTTATCAGTCCTTAGCGCGTTTGATTTGTATTAAAAAAATAATTTGCATTAAAAAAATAATTTGTTTTAAAAAAATATATAAGATCGAATTATAAAATTGTCTGTCCAAAGTAATACAGACAGCAAACATATATAATGAAAAAATATATTCAACAATTTTTCAGGATCATATTTCCGTCATTTTTTTTTTTTTTTTTTTTTATGAATTCACATTATCACATTAAGGAGTAGGCGACCAGTGCGGCCACTTCTTAATTATTCCATAAAGAGCTTCTCCGGGACTTAAAGTTTTCGAAACCTGTCGATGGCCCAACAGCTTATAGTCGGGGCTAATTTTATTGGTCTTGACACCAATTTCTATAATTTTCATCGCGGCATGTAATTGTTCTGGTTTTGGCGAAACGGTGTTGAATGTACCGATGAAAGAGATACCGATGCTCTTGTCGTTAAAACCGAACGAATGGGCACCGACGTAGTCCCAACTTCTACCGACGTACGCGAGACCGTCACCGCCGACAAGGAAATTGTAAGCAATGTCCGACCAGTTTCTTGACTCGATGTGAAAGGTCTGAGCGAATCTCACGCGAAAGGTGCACTCCGATTGTGTGTTACAGAAATCCGTAGCGGTGTGGCTGATGATTACATAAGGTACTGGCAGCTTCAACAACGACATAGATCCTGAAGGCGGTTGCGCGCCCCATTCGTTTCGCTCGACAAATCGTACCGAGCTTATGTTTACACCTGAAATTCAGGACATTTTACAACATACACAAAAAATTATTCAACATGTATCATTTAAATACTAACTAAGAAACTTTGTTAATTTAACTTACTATTTCAAAATTTACTTTGTTGGTTCAAAGCGTAGCAATATACATTTCGATCTTATTTATAAAATTTTTTTAAATATTTAAAACTCTCGCGGTCTTCTCTGTCGATGCAAAAATGCATATAGTACAAATTAATATACATGCTCATAATAAATGCACAAAGTGCGTGCGTGTGTGTGCGCGTGCGGAAGAGATAAGAGACAAATGGGAATAATTTTCAAGAGTATGATGCGATAGCATTTTTATCTCACGCTACAACATATGTACACACACAAAAAACATCTCGCTAAATAATTTACCCGTGATAGATGAGTCCGGAATGTCCGGGATCGGCTGCGTAAAACTGGCTGACGAGTCTGTGTTACGAGTTAAATACAGAATGGTGATGACTACCGTGGCCAGTAATATTACGACCAGAGCGCACAGCAAAGCCGCGCATCTCCACGTCCATAGCCACTGCGTCACTGAAAACAACAATTATATAAAAGCCGCGTTAAAACGATTGGTTTCCACGTTACGTGTCTATGTAACTGCATCTGAAATTCTTGCGTAAACAACTATTCAACGTAATCGCATTGATAAAAATCCGTGACGAACGCTGGGAGGTCGCGTGTACGGCATTTGCGATCAAATTATTTACCTTTATCTAATTCTGGATTTTGAGGAAAACCAGGTACGTCAGTGATGCCGTTGCTTTTGTTCGTCGACAAATTGACGCTCGAGAGCTCTTGCACCAGAGCGGGATTCGTGTAAACGAACTGCTTTATAGTGACCGGACCCTTGTAGAAAGTCTTGTTACCCAGATGCACGTTTGTCGAGTTCTTCACGCACACGTCGCCGAAGCTCGACGGATCGGCGTTCGGTAGAACGAGATCGCCGTTTGTGGTCGCGACCGTTTGCTGCTGGACGATGCCCGATTGCACCGGCAGATTCTCGATCCAGCCCTCTTCGACGTCCGTTTCTTCGTCATTGTCGTCGTCCTCTATGTCACTGCACTGCGTAGAGAAACTCGCAACGCTGCCATTTGTCGGAACGACGGTTTCCCTCGCTGTGGTGCAAGCAACCTCGGTATCTTGTAACCTGTTGACCGCGTATTGACCCTCGATAGGCACGACACACGCTCCGTTCTGATCTTGCTCCTTCTGGCTGCTATCGGACGTCTGCCGCTGCTGCTGTTGCTGCTGTATCAGTGTTACCATACCCAGGCACTGTATGTGGAAAATGGAAAGATTTTTGCATCGGATATAGCTTAAAATACGCTGCTACTTGTATTATGGAGTGGTCAAGCTCTGAGCGCAGCCTTCGTGATAAATTTTATTACTAAAATTTAATAAGAAAAAAATTAAATAATTACTGAATTAATTAAATGATTACTGACATAAAGAATACATGTTCTTTGTGGTTTTATTTAGATAATAATTATAGAAACAAATCTAATAAGTATCACGAAAGAAATGTAACTTTAAATATTTTTTATTTGTGAACTTCGTTTGTACAGTGTGTATAGGAATTTATGTTGAATGTAGAGGAAAGGCATATTTAAAGAAAAAAAAAGAAAAACGAAAGAAGACCTACTCTTGGTGTCAAATATTGATTATTAAAGGATAATCACCATAAGGATAAATATGGATAATATTATTAATTAAATATTATTGTACGTTATTTTTAAGCATTTTTAACTTTGTTTTCATACACATATGTAATTAGAAGATACTTCTAGGCGCGGCAGCACATATTTGATACCCTCACTCTTTTCTCTCGTCCTTGCCGCTGCCTGCCACAACACAAACTACATTATTCTGACGTTTCCGCAATGTCATTTACTTGCAACGCGATTGCAAATAATAACAAAGTGGCTATTTATCGCAATATGAGCAAAAATATTATTGTAAACAAAAGGTCAAACAAAGGTTTGACAAACAAAAAGTCGTGAAAATTGAATGATGCGTGCTAAAATCAGATTTGGCTGATGAAAGTTAGATTTCGTTATGTATTCAGAAATACAAATTTAAATTGCAAAAATGTTACAACAGAAAATAGTTTTGGAAGTAATCTATAAAAAAAAAAAATATTCTATCAGATAGACCAAATAAAAAAATTACATAATTAAAACATTATTTCTTAAATCGCGAGATAAATTACTAAAAACAAGTTATATTAATAAAAGTTATATGCAAACAAAAAATTTCCTTAGATATGATTAACGATGAAGACAGTAGGGAGAAGGTAAATTTAACAAATAAATTTTTTCAATTAATCACGTGTTAGTAAACGTCGATAAAAGATATTCAACTGTCGGTAGTATCGGTCACTGAGAGATCTGTGTTGCATTAAGCGTTTCCACGCTAAAATAAATCCAGTCCTGTCATTTATGTATTTTTTTCTAACATGAAAAATAATTTAAAAACACTTAAGCGTAGTTTTCTATCGTTACGCGATTGAATTTGTTATTTCTCTGGAGCTGACCTTTTTCAAGAGATACAAGTCACATTCATATTATTTGCTATTAAATTGATGCATGATTGAGTTCGATTAACTTCGATTCAATCGGTCGATCAATTTGCATACAAATTGCCTATCAACAAAAAACTAAATTCGTTATCCCTCAATTGATTTATTTTTCATACAGCGAAAAATTTTGATTTTTTTTTTTTTTTTAATAATAAGATTTTGTAAAGATTTTATTCTCTTCGATTACGTTAATCGTCGGATCAAAGCGTCAGTCACGTGATTGATGAATTCCAATAAAATAATTGGACAATTAAGTCATAATCGAAGATTATAAAAACTTTTGGGACGTCTAGACACCTATTTTTTTTTATATACAACACGTGAACGTACAGCAAGATTGATTTAAAAGAACGACGACGAGTTTCGTAAATTTGCTTTTTGCAATTGTCAGAATTGATCGATCGATTGAATTAATCGATATATGCCGCATGTTAATTAAAGGAATCGAACAACGCGATACACTGAAATTATTTTGAACTAAGTTGCGTTTAAAAGCGTGTTAATCAACGACGCGTTCTGCTTATCTATATCGCGAGGAACAATTTCTATATTGAGTCATCATGATGTAAACACATCCAAGTTTTTTCGCGATTTTTCGTAAACGTGAACACAAATTCCTCTGTATTTCTATAATAAATATCAACTGTAAAAAACGAAGTTCAGCAAACAGCAAATTATTTAAGAAAAATATGTGTATTCAATACTTTATTTTCATTCGGAGTTGTCTCGAAACACAAAGAGAACAAACAAGGCTTCACACAACCCAAACAACGCGCCACTCGCGATTTCTCGTTTCAGACCGGCTCGATTGTCGTCAGAGACAGTTCGTCGTAACGCTAAATTTATTAGAATTGCCTGACTCACACCTTGAAATTACCTTTCGCAAATCATCGCTCGTGCTCAGGCGGCGATCACTTTGCCGACACCCAAGACCCACCGTCGATCTACGACGACATGGCGCGGCCGAAAGCTTCGCACGAGATGAGAAGAATTATTATTTTTTTTTTTTATCCGAATCGATCTTGAGTTTTCGCAGCGGCGTCGTTTCTCGATCATCTATTGTAGCGGGAAACGAAGCGGGACGAAAATGCGGTCGCGAGAACGAGCAGAAAATCTCAACTCGTAAGCTGCTATCTTCGTTGATCCTATGACACTGTCGGATACTGGCGTCAACGATGACGCCACTGAAGGACGAAGACGCCTTTGGAGGTGGAATTGTGGACGTGCGTTTCCGAGGGGATAAAGTAAAAGGAGGAAAATTTTACACAGATATGACAGACCGAGAATCTTCTCGCGCAATATGATTTCTCGTTAATTTCGACGGCCGTCAATATCTACACCGCGATCACCATATTGCGCGTAAACCACACGTCACTGTCACGTGTACTGCATGGAGGTCACTATAATGAAAAAAAAAAAAAAAAACGACAAGATTGCATGTAAATTTTGTGTTTTACACGTATTCTGTCGTGTACGCGCACAACGTTCGCTTTTATCGAAAGAAAAAGTTTTCGCAACTTGACGTTAACGTTCACTTTGAACGATACGATGAACCGTAGAATGTACGCAATGGCAACATTATCTCCGTTCGATCCGATCGTACGGCAGACTGAACGGATTGTTGATTGCGTTGTCGAGTACGCCTGAAAATCACATCGGCCCCACTCTCTTTCTCTCTCGACCGTGACTTTTAATGATACAGGATTGGGTTTGCATGTGTGCGCGATATAAAAAAAAAAAAAAAAAAAAAGCCGTTTTCCGTCATTCTGGGATTTCGCCGCAGAATTAAGATTATGCAGATCACCGAGATTTCAATAACCAAACGTTTCTTACGAGTCGTTCAATCAAATATTACATACTTAATAAACATCGTTATATAAACGATCTAGAGTACAGGATAATATAATGTATAAAATATATATTAATAATATAATAACAATTATATATTTATATATATCTCATCCATCATTTCAGCTCTCTCTCTTTCTCTCTCTCTCTCTCTCTTCTCTTTCACTCCATTTTCATCAAATTATTTTCAAAGTGATTTTCTAATTAATTGTAGTTTTTCTTTTTCCAAGCAATTTACTATCAAACACAAGTAAATGCAGTTACATATATCACATTGAAAACTAGCTTGTGAGACAAAGCAATAACGTTCGCTCAAAAAGAAGACAATGTCGCAACAAGTCTCTCCTGCTTCTAATTCTTTTAATGTTGTTAACACAAATGTTATCATTGCACTAATATATCAGAAAGTGTGTATCGTGTGTGTTGTGTGTGTCAAAATCTAATGTATAAATTCAAATAAATCATCATTGTTGAGCTTTGACTAAACTACGTTATCACACAATACATTTCTCGTGAAAAAACAATATAGGTACTAAAAATATATCTTAGCACAGAATGTATAGCAAATGTGTGCAATGTCAGTTAATACAATATAATAGATATGTGCGTTATATCTACACGCGCGCGCGCATACACACAAACAAACACACATCACCTTTTTTATTTCTAAATATATTAAACAACTTTTTAAGAACAAACAGATCAAGTAGTATTAATATCTTAAACTACTTGCGGTCGTAAGGTAGGCGACATCCAGCAAAAACGAAATTTTTCGATCGATTGTCAGCAGACACCTGGCATAAGATTCAATTATCTGTATGTACAGCATATTTCAATCGATCTTTCATTTAAAAAAATTTTAAATTACACAGAATAAACAGAATTTCTTTGTCAGTTTGTTTTTATCTTAAAATATGCGTCATGTTTCTACCAAACGCAGTCTGGTAAGCATTTTTTGTAGCGAAAGTTGTAATTTTGAGATTATTATTCACTTATTGCTTTTTTGTCATTTTACTACTTGATATACACATTTTTGCTACATTTTGCAATATTAATCAAGATAGTGTGTTGATTCCATATGGTTTCAAAATTCCGACAAAATTTAAATCTTAAGTAAGAAAATCTGTCGAATGCTTGAGATTTGTATTTTTGAAGATTTTTTACAGCCGAAACCAACTGAACATATACGCATTTGCTGCGTATAATCGAAGTTCTGATCAACGGGTGATACATTTTGACAGACAGTTCCGACCGCAACAGATTAAAAGAAAAATATATCTTGATGTGATCACACTATTCTATTCCTCTTCTTCTCGCTTTTTAATATAAACATTTATTGACGCAGTATAGATTAAATCTATTTAAGTATAATATAGAGAGAATGCAATTAAAATAAGAGGCCAAACTTTTGTGACTGTGTGTGTTGGATCATCTTCAGGATAAATATGCTCTTATATAGTTTGGTTGCTTATTTTAATTATATCCTATATATATATATATATAATTATATATTCAATAATTTATAAGTAAACAACTCACACAAGTCACATTAACTCTATAATTTTTTTAGTACTGCTAAGTAGGTTGTAGCCTTGTATTTTTTTGTTTCATAATGTTGCTCATCTAAATTTCTTGCCGGATCAAAGAGAATTGCTATAATATATGTAGAATCCTCTATTTAATATATGCAACAGATTTCTGGTTTAAATAATATTTTACTTAATCCAACAATCACTTGACAAGTTGATACGATCTTTGTATATTCCTCAATTGTTAGACACTGTCATCTAGTGGAAGAAAAATATGTGTCATGTTTTATTTTCTTCTTGAAAACAACTGTGCTTATCTTACAAGCATATTCGATATGCGTTATACATACAGTTGTATTTCATAAAAAATCTCCATAATTATAAATCTTTTATTTAATTCTTATTAAACTACGTAATTACAAAATTTTTTTAATAAAACAAAGGATATATTGCACAGATTGTACACGTAAAATAAAAGAAACTTATATTGCAATATAAAATGATTTATAAAATGATTTCCCTTACCGTGATACCACCATTTTGTTTTTTTTGGATTCTTATTGCAAGTTTTCACATAGAATGTATTGTCAGGTGGCCTCTTCTGTGTAGAAAATATTTGTATTATTGATGTATACATTTCTTGACTAAATTAATAATATATATTAAATAGCTCAAGTCATACCTTCTCTTTACAACTGCTTAACATGGAAACAATACTCAGACAGATGGTTTGTACACTGAGTGCAGGAGACCAATCTTCCGTTAGTATTGACAAACATATGTGACCATTGCTATAAACATGTGGATGTATTGGAATATTTCCACCAATAAAAGTAACTTCGGGCGAGTCAAAAGGATATTTGGAACTAAATTTAAACTGAAGCTGAAATTGCTCTCCTTCATATAGCGTGCCTTTGGCACCCTCCATATGAACGATCCATTGTGTCAAATTTTGTTCCGCCAGTTCTCCATCTACATGTACACCAGGTGGAGGCTCGCGTATCAAGGACATCAACTCCTTCTGAAGTCTTCTCTAAAATATTAGAGAAACATACATATGTGCATTTAATACTTGAAAGAATTCTGTAGCAAGAGATAATCCAAATCCACAACAAAATTTCTCAAAAACAAATTTGTTTTCTCTCGAAATGTTACTAATTAATTGAAAATATAAATGAAAAAAAAATTTCTCACACAAGTTAGAAAATCGTTCAAGTTTCTGTGCGTGTATTTTTCTTTTTGAAAAAAAAAATATATATGACTAACAAAATTAATTCTTTTGTCAACTACACCGCACTTTCTAGTCACCTCGCCAAAGAGAGGCGCAATTTGTGGTTGTTCACTAACAAAACATAAAATTCTCGATACACAGAAGAACACGCGCACGATTTTAACGTTTTTAACATATACGAATCACATACATTTGACATCTTCAGCGCGTGTAAGCACACGACTCGTGCTCTCAGCCGTTTGTGAAGTACTTTGCGTCGGAATTATATGTTCTCTTTTCAAAGACACCGTATGCCGTAGAACACGTCACGTTTCCTCGTCGTCTCGCGCGTCCTACGAATCGCACGGGATATCAATGGAATACAGAAACGAACGTACCTTCGACGGGGTCGTTGCCGCCATTGTCGTTAAACCGAGTTAAACCGCTCTCCATCGAAAAAACATATCAGCGTCTCATCGGACGCTCGTTATTCACTTGTCTGGCCGTGTGTTATTTATTCGGAAACAAAATTTCGATTTCGCGAAACGCGCGTTTTACATGTTTCTCTCGACTCTGTTCGCGATTTCTTAGCACGAGCAAGAAAAGGAAACAAATTTAGAGAGACATCAATGGCGATGACGTTCCGCGGTCGGTTCCAAATCTGACAGCGTTGACAGCTGTATTCGCGCAATGATGGCGAGCAGTCACGAAGCGCAACGCACACAATTGTCGTTTACACAAACCCACACATAAAGAGTACGTAGTACGTGGGTGGGTGCGTATGTGTGTGTGTGCGCGCGCGCGCGAAATCTTTCGTTTTTTACAATACACGAGAAAAAGACAGAAAGAGGAGATATCAGAGAGTGATTTCAATTGTCATTTGTGATCGTTCTGACGCACGAGTGTCTTGTAATTTCAAAACGAGATAAAATTAAACAACGTAAAACGGAGAGAAAATTAATTTGTAAAGTTGAAGTTATGCAATATCACAGAATCAGCTGATTTTTCACGCTCATGTAACAATGCACATGTAAACAGTGTTTGGTAACTCGAGGGACAAAACCACAAACAAAACGGTCTCTCTCGAAATTATCTCGAACTACGTGCGCACGCGCGAGGCATCGATCACGTGTGTCGGTAAGAACCGTTTCGACGTTTCAAATTCATATTCGAACTAGCGATGAAAATAGGAATGTGACCAATCGGAACAAAGCGAGCCAATCTCGCTTTTTAATGAAACTTTTCGCTCCGATTGGACAAATTCCGATCTGGACACAGGTTTATTCCGTTGGAATCGTGCAATCGTGTTGGACGATCGGTTGAATTTAGGAAAGTTGAAAATGATACGCGCACGCGCAAAATGAGATGCCTCATCCGATGATAGCATCGAATCTTCTGTCTCGTTTCATCTTTATTACACGAGATGTTAAAAAGTTGTTTTGAGTTAAATGTGAATTTTACAGTTAAGTGACAGCTTCCACGCTATTTTTTTCTAATATATAAATGTGGGAAAGACGCGCGCTGAGAAGATAAACTGTGAGATCTGTCACGGAAACGTTGAAACACTGGTAGGGAGTAACCCCACCGACTTGCTTGAGAAGGAGTCGCCAGATCTGAGTTTTGTATCCTCTTGTTCGGAGATACGAACTTTGATGTCTGAGAGTGAATACGATTCAGCAAACGAATACACAAGTCTGATGGACGGTCACGTTGCGGAATCGCGCACGGAAGATTTGATTTTGGGCAATCATGATCGTCGAAAGAACCGTTCCAGGAACACTAATGAAGAAGTAACTTTGTCAACCAATTTTTCTTTTTTTATTGATCCTTTTTCTTCTGTTGATATTGAGCAGACTCTTGCTTAAAAGCATTGTTTAAGACACTTGAGAAAAATTGTCACTTCTTGATTGAATCACTAAACGTATATATTGTTTCAGTTGGAAAATGGAATGCCTGAGATGCATGTTGAAACATCAAGTACCAGTGTCAGTCGTTGGAACAGACGTGGTACATCTAGTAACAACAGTCAAAACAGACTCAGTGTGATCGACGAGGAGGAAGAAGAATTGAAATATGGTGCTGCACATGTGATCAAACTCTTTGTCCCTGTTTCATTGTGCATGCTGGTTGTGGTAGCTACCATTAGCTCAGTACATTTCTACACAACCAAGGGAATGTACTTGTAAGTTTTGCTATTGCAGTGACACATCTTGTGTTTTTTTTTTTTTTTATATATATATATATATTGAAATAATTCTTTTTTAGAGTTTATACCCCATTCCATGAGGACAGCAATGATACAAGTACCAAAGTTTGGCAGGCATTTGCCAATTCGCTGATTCTTATGAGTGTTATTGTATTTATGACTGTGATACTTATCATTCTTTATAAATACAGATTCTACAAAGTCATACACGGCTGGTTGATCATAAGCTCTCTATTATTGCTTTCAATGTTTTCTCTTCTGTTTTGCGAGTAAGTATAAAAAATATTTTGTGTGTAAACTATATTAGAATTATTACAGCGACAAGTATATCTCTATTGTGGGTTTCTTTCTCTATTTACAGGCAAGTGTTGAAGGCATATAACATTCCAATGGATGTGTTCACGTTAGGTATAGGCTTGTGGAATTTTGGTGTAGTCGGCATGATTTGTATTCATTGGCAAGGACCATTGCAACTTCAACAGGCTTATTTGATTTTTATTTCCGCTTTGATGGCACTGGTGTTTATTAAATATTTACCAGAGTGGACAGCATGGGTCGTTCTCGGAGTTATAAGTATTTGGGGTAAGAGTTTGACAATGAAAATGAATTCTCGTCAAGAAAATCTCAAATTCACTCACTCTTCATATTTGTACTTTTAGATTTGATCGCGGTTTTAACGCCAAAAGGTCCGTTGAGAATACTCGTCGAAACGGCTCAGGAACGAAACGAATCGATTTTTCCCGCTTTAATTTATTCATCCACCATTTTATATTCGTTCACTGTAACTTACGCCGGATATGTACAGGCTGCTACAATGGCCTCTGGAGATACCGTGGCATCTCCTACGCAAGGTCAAGTGGATAATCAAAATAGCAGTGCGTCCGGTGACGCTGAGGAAGGAGGTTTTACTCCTGAATGGGTGGAGACACATGGTACGGATTAAAGATTGACACGATTTTTGATAGAAACATATTGAGATAAAAAAAATATAAAAATATAAAAAAATCGAAGTAATGTAAGTTGTACAAGTAATGAGCATCGATTTGCATTGATAATGAAGAGAAGAGCGGTTCGTTCTTTTATGCACTGTTCTATTTTCTTACTTTCTAATTCTCAGGTGAAAGAAGTGCAAGGCGTTCTCAAGAAATACAAGAAAACACCTCTACTTCCACGGTGAGGCAACGCGGCAACGCGAGACAAGATAATCGCCCGCGAGATGCACAAGGACAAGTTGCCGAAGAGGAGCGAGGAGTCAAATTAGGTCTCGGTGATTTTATATTTTACAGCGTACTCGTTGGAAAAGCGTCGAGTTATGGAGATTGGAACACTACACTGGCTTGTTTCGTTGCCATTCTCATTGTGCGTATTGCAAATCAATCAATCAATCACTAACAATGAACATTAATGAATATATCTTCTAATAAACTGTTTTCTCTTGTGTTACAGGGTTTGTGTTTGACGTTGTTGTTGCTGGCTATATTCAAGAAAGCATTACCCGCTTTACCGATTTCCATTACATTTGGTTTAACGTTTTATTTTGCCACAAGAGTGATTGTGGCGCCATTCGCGGATAGTTTAGCGAGCGAACAAGTATTTATTTAAAACTTAATTATAACAAATATTATTTCATCTCTTGATTTAGTGCAATTCATTTACGGAAAAGATTCTAGAGAAACAATACCCATTTACTTTACATTTTCATCTCCCTTCAGCTGTAGCAATTTTGAAATTCAAAGATTCGGAAGCTAACATACATTTTTGTTTTTACTCCCATGTTTGCCGAGTGTTGTATCATGTGTTTCTTATATATACGTATATATTATACAAACAAGTAATATGTGTGATATTACACACACTCAGTATAAATATCAAATACATATTATCACACACATGTATAATATATATGTACATATACGTATTGTATATTTAAATGTAAAAAATATTTCTATAATTATAAATAAAACAAATTTTTTTAAACAGATCTTTTTAAGATTTATATTCCATCATATACCACGTTCGTACAAAAGACAGCGATTAAAGAAAATCATATCACGATGCATATGATTGTCTTTATTTGCGCCATCGGAAATCAGTGCGATTAATTTATACGGACTACTATGCGTGCAATGTAAAAAATTGTTCCTTTCAGTTGTATTGAATATACGTGTAAAGTTTTTTTTCACATAAATTTTTTTTATATTCATAAAATTAATAAACTCTCAAAAAAATAAAGTGGAAACAAAATAGGTTTAAAAATCTCTTATAAATTTAACTCCTAATAATTTATATAAAATATTAATATGCATGAAATATGTAATCAAAATTTTAAAAAAGTTACAGCTAAAAGGAACAAGTGAAAATGTGATTTTGTGACTCATATTTATGCGGTCCCTTCGTCGTCCATCGAAGTATCTTCCTCTGCAACACAATCCCTCTCCGAAATGGTCCAGTGGCCTTTGCGTTGTTCCACGTAATTCACTTCGTAGCACTTTGATTTTTTTCACTCGCGACGCGGAAGACGCGAAATATATAAGTATATAAGTACACACACACGTGAAATTCAAATTGTTCTATAGTCTATTTTCACTTTTTTGTAAAGTCCACACTTTGATAACTACCGAATTTCTCGAAACTCGAACAAGTAAATCCGGAAAATAACTTTTTTGATTTCGCATAAAAATATATATTTACGAATATGTGAAATTGAGTACCGCGAATATTTACTAAAATAATGCGACATATGAAAACTTGTCAAAACTCTGATAATAATCACAAATATTTCATTTATTAGTTTAAAAGACTTCAGAGCCCGAAGAAATCTTCTTCTTGTTCTTTATTAATTTAATAATCACAAAGTTTATATATTTAAGAGTCGAATATAAAAAATAGTTTTATGACGGAACGAGTGTTTCGGTTTATTTCGATGTGTGATTTTTTTATTTGCGTAATATTGTTACGCAAAGCTCGATTTGGCCCCGCAGTGTATCACTGCGAAGACTTTCTCGCAATTCAGTTTTGCAAAAATTATTGCGTCTTTTGTTCGAGCGAAACGTGATAGTATATTATTGCAAATCGTATAATAAAAACGTTCGCGAATGTACAATACGTGTGTAACTTCAAAATATCGCGAATACGAATCGGAAAAAAAATATGAAAAAACTCGAATATACTCGCGTGATTGATAAAATTTAATTTCGTAAAAATAACAATAAAATTTTAATGAAAAAGAAAGGGATCATCTTTAAAGATATATTTCTTCTGCTTTCTCTAACTTTATAAACTATATAGACATAATATAACCATAGAAGTCGCGGAAAAAAGTAAATGCGGAAATAATATAATAAACACCGTGAATCTATTTTCCGCGGAATAATCGCGATTCTATTCTAAAAGACTTTGCAGTTTGTTTTAAATTCTAAAAGGCATAATTCAAACGTCGATTTTAACGCAACAAAACTTTCGCTTTGAATGAAGATTGAAACATCGAGAACAAATAATTTATAAAAATAACAAATAATTGCATATATGTTAGTAGAAAATATATTCAAATTCCGTGCTCGATGTGTTTCAAAATTGATAAAACCAAAGATCTATCACGCGATTCGCACTGATTTCGAACCATTCCTATAATTCTAAAACTTACTCACCGAGCGCTGGCCACCATCTGTTGTACACTCTGTAACAAAAATAAAATTTTCTCCTTATTGTTAGATATAAGAAATGTTTTTCAATTTTACGAAAGTTTCTATAAGAATATATATCTGACGGTTATAAGTTATGCGTAAACAATAACTGTGTGAAAACAACATACCTTCGTGCCAGCACTCTATCGTCCGAACCGGCTCTTTCGACACTGCAAGCTCCCCTTCACTGCGTAAACAAGTCCGTATCTGAACCAACAAATAGACAGAAAACAAATTAATAGAAAATTGACTGAAAGAAATTACTAAATTTTTAAATAAGTTCTAATTTATATATATAATACGTGTAAGTTTCAAAACAGAAATGATTCTTTGTAAATTGCAAAGTATTAGCATTACCAGCGAGTGCGCGATGCTAATTACACGTTATTGCGAACGTCCGACACACTTTGCGACACGCACGTAAATATCGATATTTGCGCGTGAGACGACAATAATTACAGACAAACACGGGATAATTTGCAGATAGGTTTGCTCCGCGTCGCGCGTCCGCCACGAATGTTGCCCACGAAATGTATCGAAGCGCGCGATATTGCGATTCTCGAAATATCGAATCGACGCGCACATAGCACGGACCAGAACCAGAAATTGATCAAACAGATGGCATTTTTACTTACTGAGTTGGTGGTCGCGTGTAGTTGATACACGTAAAACGTAAACAGATAACGCCACAAATTCATTTTCGTGTATGCGCTCTTCATTATCCGCCACACGTTTATTTTTCACATTCTTTTGTATTAAAATTTAACATTTATTACATTTCTTAATCCTCTTTAAAGGAAGAGAACATTTATTACATTTCTTAATTCTCTTTAAAGGAAGAGAACATTTATTACATGTCTTAATTCTCTTTAAAGGAAGAGAATTAAGAAATACATGTCTTATAATTCTCTTTAAAGGAAGAGAACATTTATTACATTTCTTATTCTTTTCCTTTAAAGAGAATTAAGAATTTAAAGAGATTTAAGAATTAGAACTTTTATTACATGACTTAATTCTCTTCATTTAAAGAGAATTAAGACATGTAATAAATGTTCTCTTCCTTTAAAGAGAATTAAGAAATGTAATAAATGTTCTCTTCCTTTAAAGAAAACTAAGAAATGTAATGTTCTCTTCCTTTAAAGAGAATTAAGAAATGTAATGTTCTCTTCCTTTAAAGAGAGAGAATTAAGAAATGTAATAAATGTTCTCTTCCTTTAAAGAGAACTAAGAAATGTAATAAATGTTAAATTTTAATACGAAAGAGAATGTGAAAAATAAACGTGTTATGTTCAACGACTGAGGTGTTTTTCCGACCGGCGAGTGTTTTTGCGCATAGTGGGGCATGCGTGCGCTCTATTCACAGCGCAGCGCGTAGCCTCAGATCTCGTCGATCTGTCAAGTGTAACTGACGTGTTGTCGGGTTGTGCGCGATTAAAAATTTTTTCTTTTCATTATAACAAGTTCGTACGCAATTTCATACATAAGTGAATTTCTTCGTAAATTAATTATATAATTCTGTTATTGGAAATCTACCGCGTATATCGCGATTAAATATTTCGCGTATATAAATTATTAGTCTTCCGCTTCGTAATTTCTTTATTTTTTAAAATAATTATTCTAATACATAAAGCGATATAT